CCACCATTTTTTGTGTGTGTGAAAAGATATGGAACAAGTCCACTTTTATTTTTAATAAAAGAAATTATAAAAGTAAAATTATAAGAACTTTGAAGTAAAGGGTTGTAGTCAAAAACCTATTATGCTCCAGAGCATAAAGCAAAACAAAACTAGCTGGGTCAAAAGAGAAGAGTAAAGACTGAAAAATCTATAAAAACAGCTAAAAACTTCAAAAAAAAAACTATAAAATGCTGGACACAGACAGTAGCCAAAAACCCGCTAGATTTTTTTTTTTTTAGTTTTTAGATACATCACGACAGTGGCGGAGCCAGAAACTTTGCATGGGGGGGCAAAAAAATAATTTTTTTAAAAAATCCCCTCATCTTTTTTCATTCGGGCTTGGGACCGACATTGGCAGTTTTAAAAAATTTTATATAAAAAACACTTAATATAAGATAAAGTAGACTTACAATTTATAGCGTCTATTCTTCATATTTTGGAAAAACTGAATAATAATATCATTGTCAATACAATCTAAAATTTCTTTTTCAATATAAGCGATTAAAGTATCGTTCATCCACTGGTCTCCAATTCGATTGCGTAATCGATTTTTTATAATAGCCATTGCAGAAAATGATCTTTCAACTCCTGTTGTTGCAACCGGTAGTACTAATGCCAGCTTCAATAACCTAAAAACAAGGGGATATAGTATTTCCTTCCTGTTCTGAACCATTTTTTCAGCAAGACTTCCTATATCTTTTAACAATGAGAATTGAATATTAAACTGCATATCCATAATATAAGTTTCAAGCTGATTATCAAGAATCATCAAATCTGAAGGAGTGAAATCAGCTGGATATAAGTTTGTCATTCTAATCAACTTCTCTTTGTTGAATGCATGGAACGAATTTGATGGATTCAAACAAGAAATACACAAAAGTAATTCAGTACTAGCCTCTGAGAATCGATTATTCAACTCTTGAAGTTGCATATCCAGTACTTTGTAGAATATATCAATTTGATAATGATGCAAGTTAGTCATTTCTTGAAGTCCACGCTGTGGTCGTCCACGGGCAACCCATTTATCATTTAGATTCGGAATGAAAATTTTGTGTTCAACACAAAATGAATTTACCTTTTTAATGAAGGCATCTCACTTATTATCTCTCATGTCTTGTAATCTAATTTTTTATATTTGAACTAAAGACATGGCATTCACGATGTCCTGATCTTTTCTTTGCAAAGCTTCTGATAGTTCAGCAGTAATTCCAAGTATATCTTTTATTAAGTGCAGACAAAAAGAGAAATCAAAAGATTACAATGAATCTAATAATGCAAATGCCTCTCCTCTTTGTTCGGAGCTCATGCTATCCTCCAAAACTATTTACAGCACATTAATAACTGAGGAAAACATTGTAATCAATCTAATCAGTGACTCATAATGTGAGCCCCATCTTGTTTCACCATCACGTCGTAATGATATTTCTTGATTTAATCCTCGTCCAGTGTATACCTCACCATTATATAATGCACTTAACGTCATCTCGCGTTGTTTTTCTCTAAGTTGATCATAGCGTTTGCATGAAACACCAATAATATTCATTATGTTTGAAACAATAGTAAACAATAGTGAAATCTGAACATGATTTTTTGCAACTGCTACTAAGACTAACTGAAGCTGGTGTGAGAAGCAGTGAATATAATGTTCATATTTATTCTCATTTAAAAAAAGTGCTTTAAGGCCATTAAATTCTCCTCTCATATTGCTAGCTCCATCGTAACCTTGACCACGAATTTTTATTTGAGACATACAGTAATTTGAGAGGACTTGATCAACTCCTTCTTTTAAAATTCTAGCTGATGTTTCAGGAACATGCACAATACTCAAAAAACGTTCAATAATTTGACATTTCTCATTCACAAATCGTATAACGACATCCATTTGTTCTTTGCCTGATATATCACGAGCTTCATCAACAAGAATGGAAAAGAAACTATTACCAACCTCTTCTTTTATATAGTCTGTAATTGCACTAGAGATGGCTCTACAAATATCTTTCTGAATTTCAGGGGCAGTTAATTTCAAATTCTCATGAGCATTCTTCAGTACGACATTATTTATATCTTCATTATGCTTTGTTAAAAATTGCAGTAGTTCAAGAAAATTTCCTTGCTTTTTTGAGTCAAAACTCTCATTGTGCCCTCGAAATGCTAATCCTTGTCTTAGAAGGAATTTCACACAATCAATAGAAGAATAAAGGCGGACACGATATGCATTTGAAACTTGATCAGTGCATCTGAAAGGCAAAGTTTATATGTTGATCTTGTCTCATTAAATCATCACAATTTTGTCTTGCATTATTATGAGCACTACTAGGACCTCCTATATGAAGATCAAATCTTTCAGGCTTTTTCCAATTTGAGAATCCGTTTCTGCGAAATGCTTCATCATCTTCTTTTCCTCTTCCTTCTACTCCAAAAAGATAACAAAATAAACAGTATGATTTATCTTTTTGAATACTATACTCTAACCAATTAGAGTAACTATCAAACCACCTTGGATTGAAACGTTATCTTTGTTCCCAAACTTACTTTTAGGGAAGTCATGATTGCGAGGCTGACATGGCCCTTTTTGCAAATATGATCTTCGAATTTGGTCACGAATATTAAAACTAAATTCAGAAATAGGTATGCGTAAACCAGGATCTGACTGAAGGTTCTCTAGATCTGTTACCCCGCTGCCTGATGATTCACCAATTGTTCGATTCCTTTTTTTATTTTTTTCATCTTCTTTTTTCAAATTCTCTATTGGTGTTGATACACAAGATTGTGTGGACTTCTTGAAATACTTTTCCATAGTCTTTGTGCAAAATCAAATTACCTAAAATATATGTAGAACTCATATAATATAAACTATTTGAAATAAAAAATCTACTTTCCAGTGCTAAACAAAAAACAAATTTAAGATTGTTGCTCATATTGTAAATAGAAAACAAAAGTCTAAAAATAGAAATTACTTGTTTTCTTAACCTAAACAAAAAACAAACTTCGTTTTTTACCCAAGCTGCTAAACAGAAAATAAATTAAAAACGAAACAAATTCAAGAACAATTGACAGCAAACAAATTTCCTTATTTAAACCTAATCACAAACAAATCAAACGAAATAAAAAATACAACTAATTAAATCCAACAGTGAACATCCAACGAAAAAATTAAAAAAAAAACATAATAAAACCAAATTTTAAGAGTTTTTTTAGAGGCGCTTACCTCTAGGATTCAGGAATTTGGTTATATGGAATCGCTCAATCGCCTGGACTTCAACTAATCAGCTACAAGCTGCCGCTTGCTAGAAGTCAGAAGCCGGAATTTTGATCAACAAACAATATATAAAAAAAAGGCCTTCCGGCGCTAATCTTTGCCGGAAGTCGGATGAAGGGAGTCGGAAGCCGGATGAAGGGAGCGAAATGCGTACCCTAACCCGTGAATGCAAAGGCCTTCTGAATCGCACGCCGCACGCTATAGCGCGAGAGCTGTAGAGGCGACGAGATGTGCTTCGCGCGAGGCCTTCTGAATCGAGCAGTCGAAATATTAGGGCTACCAAACGTTGAACCGCCCAAAAAATCGCAAAAGTGCGTATTATACAGGGTTTTTTTTTTTTAACTCGGAGGAGGCACGTGCCCCCGCAGGCCCCCTCTCAGCTCCGCCGTTGCCAACTAATACATCTATTACAAATAGACATACATGTTTTATATTTATCATAAACAAGTATTTAATAGATAGTTTATAATCAATATGATAAATGCTAGTTTCATAATAAAAATATGATTTGCATGAATAATGTTTATTATATTCAACTAAAGTAAAGTGCATTGTGGTAGCTTGTTACCACACGAATCATTTCCAAATATATAAGTTATGCATCAATTAACATGAAAAAATATTAAATTACTTTACAATATGAATAATAAAATTTCTACAAAGTTTGTAAGCATGATGAATATTAAAGATACGATTGACAATGTAGTAAATATTCAAGTATCCTATTACAAATATCAAGGATAAAAGGAACGGTACATTCCTCTAATAAATAAAAGTACCTGCCTCTATTTGTAACATTCAATTTTTTTTTCTTTCTCTGGATCCAATAAATAGAAACTGGTGAGTACTAACTCAAAAACTCTAAATAATATGATCTCTCAATCAATGACTGCAATATAGCCAGCTTAGGTTACCCTATAAACAACCCAAATTAATTATTATTTTGATGATGAAATTAATCCCAAACATATATAGGTAGTGGGGAATGCATGTGGCAGGTTCACGACAAAATGATGTTCATGAGCAAGAGATTATCATTAATAATTTGGCTCTGATATCATGTTGGAAAGAGTATTTATGAACTTGATTTCTATTAAATTTTTTATGGTACAAGTAAGTATATGCGTCTGTATGTTAGAGAAAAAAAAAACAAAACAAGAAATACTAATGAGGAAATATCACGGTAATAAATTGTAAAACTTCATGTAATATGTATATAGTAATAATTCTAGACTGGTAGCTTCTAATTTATGATAACCTAACCTAGTTATTTTTGGCTCATATATGCATTTTTTGTTCTATGATTTGCAAATAAAATCAAGCATCTGACCCACTGTATTAGAAGTACATAATTAAGCTTAAATTTTATTTTAATCCTATTGTGATGATGAAACTTTAGGCTTTTTCACCATAAAAGTCTATCATGTTCTTCCTATTCACTTCTTCAGAGTCCAGATTTGTTAGCGATTCAATTGTTGCCAATAATTGATGGTTACTGAACTTTGTCTGGTTGATATCATTACTGACTTCTCGAAAGTCTTGTCGCCTCCTAGCCAAAGAATTTCAAAGGAACATTATAAATGGACACAGTACCAAATTATTTTTCATGTTTGATTTATTTTCTTTACATAGTTTGAGCTGCGTGTTCGACATGCCTCTTTAACTTGTTAATCAGAACTTTTATATAATGCAACCTCTGTAGGATGTCCAGTTTGATTCCCATGAATCAGCGTACCCTATGAAGCATCTTGTGGCAAGGTATCCAACTAAAGAGTCCAATATATACTCGTACACGTTCATGGCGTAGCAGTGAATAATCTATTAATGAATGATCTTATTTATTTTCAGGAGGGATTATCCATGGAAGGTAAGCAGCGATGCTGCAGGTGTTTCTTCAAAGCTGAAATTACTTGAGCAAGATTTGAGTAATCTGGAGAAGTTAGATAAAGGGGAGCTGTCAAAGGTCCCATTGTTGTTGAGAAAGCAAGCAAGGCGTTATCGATCTCTAGCTGAAAAGATTGATGATTTATGCCGGAAAATGGTAATCATCCCACCAAGTTATTTATTTATTTGACTTTTTTTATCAAAATAGTTTGGGCCCTCTATACTTTCTTGTTTTGCACCTTTGGAGATTTACTAGTTTACCCACTTGTTTTCACGAATGGCAGAGAGAGTAGGGAGTGAAGATTACTTGTGTTAGTTTTGGATTAATTATGTTGTTCTTACTAATTTGTTTGTTTAAAAAGAATCATTAGAACTTCTGGTTTATCATAAAGGGTAAGAGATTGTGGTTTATCTCTTGCATGCATGTTGATCACAATTTACAATTCAAAAAGAATCATTTCATTGTTTTAATTCTTTGATTTTGGCTGATTGGTTCAGCAACTAAGTGAGAGCTGTGAGCCGAGCATGAGCCCAGATTTCCGAACCCAGCGGCAAACAGAGTTTCTGGTTGAAGCATTCCGCCTCCAGCACAGAGCAAATGAGACGAGGCAGAAACTAAATGCTCTTCACACTGAGCTGATTGGGCAGACTAAGTTAGCAATGAGGAGATCGCTGGATTCCATTAGGAGCAATTTCAAGGAGATTCAGAGGAATCTTGAGATCTGGTTGGCGAGGATAATGGGTGACCTGGAAGGCGTTCTCGCCAGAGATGGTAACTCGCGTGTAAGGGATTACTATATTTCTCGATACCCTTTTGTTAGATAACATTTTTTTTTAAGTTATAAATAATATTTTGCTACTATAATTCTGCAATTGTCACTTGCCCTGCCGAGCTCTCCATCGTTTTTTTCTTTCCATATATCGGTTGAAAGAGGAGAGCATCATTGATTCTTCCTTTTTTTAACTACCTTAGGTAGTGTATGAGGATTTGCCATCTATATCTATACATCTCAGAAGTGTGAAGTGAGTGAGTACTTGAGATTTAAAACACAAAATTCAAAGCAATTCAGAGCTGATTATTTATGTTTCTTCCTCCATCTTTCTATACAACTTTTATGGTAATAAAATATCGATGAAATAGCTCTCATCGTCCGAAGCAATTTATTGACTTACAAAAAAAATAATACCGCTACTTTAATTTAATATACAAGAAAGGGTATTTATTATTGATGGTTTAATAATTCTATTTCACAGAAGAATTGTTTCTGTTATTCACGCCTACAAATTAACGCTTAACAAATTAAAATTCAGTTAAAATACCAAATCAAGACTTCAATTGTGAAAACGGCTAAACAATTATTGTACAACTTTTTTCTTCTGAACAGCAACTTTCTGAGAAATTTTTCTTTTTTTGAAAAAAAAATTTGCAAATATTTTACAAAAAATTACAAACATACACTAACTAATAAAGTAATAATTAAATTTATCATAATTAAGGGCGATATTTTACCAAAAAAATATTTAAAATCGGAACAGATCACATAATTTTTTTCCTTAGTAGATTTTCTATATAATTTTTTTTTACTACAGATATTGAGAGAAACACTCTATTGATTCAAATTTTCTACACAAAATAAAGGGCACTCAAAAGACAGCAAATGTAAGAATACTTAACACAAATTTATTTGCAGCTACCTACATAGAGCATAGCAGCCGAAAATATTCAGCCTCCTCAAACATGAGGTGTTAGCAGTTAAGGGCACCCGGCCAGTTCAAAAACACCCAGACTCTTTTTTTTCCTCCCTTTTTGCGAACTCAAAAATTGAAAAATAAAAAAAAGTCAGTCAGTACTTACTAACACTATTGTTTAATAAAGTAATCCAAGCATTCTTATATTCTCTTAAGTGACTAAAAAGCTTAAACAAATACCAAGATTAATTTAAATGAAAGTGCAAGTGACATGGCAATTCCAAACAATCATCAGATTCCACAATACGTTTTCTAGAAAAAAAGCCAACATCGCCAAAAAAAATATCACAAATGGGAGACAAAAACAGAAATATGCTGAAAATTAACAAAAAGGCCTTGGCTATTATTATTTGCTATGGAGCAGCTGAATCATTTCTTCTCTTCTTTCTCTGCCTCCGCAGCCTTCTTCATCCTGGCACCAACCTGCTTGGCATTCATTCTCTCCACACGAAGCTTGCCATAGGCCTTGAATGCCTTCATCTCCTCAGTAACCTTTACCAACTCAACTGAAGGCTTACTGAGGACAATAGGCATGTAGTCTCCCTTGACCTGGGTTGCAGTAGCAAGTTCATCTGGTGCTGAATCACCAGCCTTAAATTTGCGAGCACGTCTAGGGAAGATCACCAGTTTAGCCTTGTATGTCTTCAGTCTTTGGATATTGGCTTGGAAGCCTTCCAGTGAGCGATTCTTACGACGATGATCCACTGCAATGCCAATTGTGGGAGCAAGCTTCTTTGGAATTCCTGCAGCCTACCATATACCAAAAATAGGCATTCATGTCAAAGTCTGACCCAAAAATCGAAATATCCAAAATGCAAATACCATTGGTAAAGCTGAACAAGTTTGATACACAATTTGACAATCACCTTGAGCTCCTCAAGAGTGAAGCCTCTTCCAGTTCTCGGTTTCATATTGTATTTTAGCGTCTGGCACTGGACTATTGGACGAAGGGGGCCAGATGTTGGGCGCGGGAAAATCTTCACTGCCTTCTTTTGCCTGGCTGCATTAACCAAGCAATAGTTGAATCCAGTAACATAGAGTCAAAACAAAACCTAACCAATGGATGGTTCTGAACATCTATTACTGTAATAGTGTGAGAGCCTTTACCAATGCGTCGTCTTGTCTTCCGTGCTGGCTGGTTGAACCATGTTCTAACATAATTCTGCCAATGCTTTTTGAAGTGGCCATTAGGCACCACATTATTGTGCTTCACCATGATAATAGCTGGAAAACCATTGATAACAATACAGTAAGATAACTACTTACAAATACCAACTGCCAAACCACATACTTATTAGGTTGATGCAAGCAAACAATAGCATACAAATATGAATAAAAAAATATTGACAGTATATTATAACAGATGTTCCAAGAAACTTTTTTTTTTCCATATATCTTCATGATTTCTAAAAGAATCAAAATTGTCCAGGGGAAGAAAGAGAGCGCCGGATAAGAGACTTGCACAGATGAATTAAAAAAGGTTGCGCTAGTTAAATTTGGGAATCAAAGAGGCAAAAAATTTTATTTTATTGTGGATACTTCACTAATACAAGGAAAATTTACCCTTCTACAAAAGTAATTCAAGGCCCAAAATAAACCAACCCCTGCCAGGCTAATCAAGGGGGTATAAATAGGCCTATATCGTGAAAACCAAGCAAACGACACTCAAAGAATCGGATGATAAGTTGTGGCGGATGAATAATCTCAGCTCTAAGAATACCTCAATAGGATGTTATAGTTGAAAGGACAAACAGAATGTCACGACCCGGCCCTATTATAACCTCAAGGATTGGTTCTTTTGAACCTATGGAAAAGGAAATGGCCAATTTATTGTACCTGATCAGTACAAGTGATACTCCTGAGATGGGTGATATGTATATATATATACGTACTAAATTATTATGAATGTTTTTCATACATTGTCATATGTGATTGAGATTAAATGAGCCTCAATGTTTTAAAATGAAAGGAAAGGAAGAAAGGAAATGTAATGAAAGGTTTAAGCATTGGAAAGAAATTGATGTAAAGAAAAATATGTTATCACTGGAGCATAACTTACTTTAGAATTGATAAATTTTATTGTTAAGTTTTTCCCTACGCCAGCATGTGGTAGTTTCCCTTTTTTTTCCTATGTTTAAATGAATTTTTATCCTCACCTATTGAGCTTAAAACTCACCCTCGTTGTGGGAATACTTTTCAGGAGGAGCTAGGAAGGGGTAAATGGCCAATCAACCACCGCGAACTTACCGTCGTAGGGAGACGACGGGCGGCAGGTTCTTTTGTGTTTTGGTCTGATGCAAAAGGGCCCGCCCAGCGAAGAACGCCAATCTCTGAATCCATCTGGAGAAGAGGAAGTGGAATCGTGGAAGGGAGTAGTGGGAAGACCTCATCTGGAGCCTTTCAGAGAGAGGAGAGAGGAGGAAGTATGTGGAAAGACAAGGCTAGTGGAAGGTGGGAAACCCATGAGGGGGCGGAGTTGGAGCATCCTTGGTCACGGATTTCAGGGGCGCCTGGGAAGCAGTTTTTGAAGATCGGAGAGGAGATTTTGAAGAGGATTGGGACAGGGCAGAGCAAGGAAGATCGGATTACGTGGGGGGGGGGCCAGGCACATGGGAGGGGAAACTATGGAGGATTAAGGGGGAATGGCGCGTGATCGGAAGGTGAGGAAATTTGAAAATGCCATTTTTGAAGGGAGGATGCCTATGAGTGGATCTACAAAGTTGGAGAGTACTTTTTGCTGTTAACAGATTGACGGATGGAGGAGAAGTTGTCGGCAGCGTCTTAATGTCTGGAAAGGAAGGACACTCTCTGGTACCAGTGGACGAGAATCAGAGGAGACCTATTTAGGAGGGTGAGATTCAAGTGACACGTATTGTGCAGGCAGCGTTTCCAACCGATCGGGGAGAGATTTCTCACGTCAGCGAAGCTTCTTTGCCCTTTTCAGGAAAAGGGTCATGTGGCAGACTATGATGAGAAGGTTGCAGCATCTTATGCCCAGCAGCGGTGGAGTCGCTATGTTCTCGAAAACGCATGCTGCCGAGTCGGCAATTTTATGCGATTATAAAGCGGATGGATCTGCGATAGCAGCGGTGAAGATGTCCTGATGACCCAGGGACCTAGGACGGGCCATGAAGCTTGCACAGCTGTGCGATCACGAAAATAAAAGATATGCGAAAAAAGGCGAAGCGAGGAGTAGGTGTGTCAGGAGGGCACTTATAGTGTGGACAACTACCCACCCCTATCCACCAAGGGAGCTTCCACAGGAGGGGATGAAAAGAAGTTCCAAAGGAAAAAGCAACTAGGAGGAATGGGGGATAGTATTAAAGAGGCTCGACCTACAAGGCAAATGCAAGAGAAGCAGAACAAAAAGCGCTGTGTTTTCCGACTGTGATGAAAAATAATGCCAGCAGGCATAAGTGCAGGATCGAACTCTTCAAGTTCTTCCTCGATTTTGTGAAGACGCAGCGAAGACGAAGGAGCGGTGGCGGAAAGCGATTCAGAGATGGAGAGGGAAAAGGTGCATCTAGATGTGGCAGAAGTCTCTCTCAACTCCATGTAGTGGGATTCACTCCGAGTCACACTATGAAGGTGCAAGAGAAGAATTTAGCTGACCATGGGGTCGTGGTGTTGTTGATAGTGGGGCAACCACACATTTCCATTTCCACCCAAATTGGTGGAGTTGTTGGGGATGAAGTTTAGTGGATACTGAGAGGCTCATGGGGTGATTGACTGGACACTGCGGAAGGTTACGAAATGGAAGAGGAATCTGCCCAAAGGAGTGTGTGAGATTCAAGGCATAATTGAAAGGAAGCGGAGAATTCCCTTTTTTTTTCCCCTGGTTAAAACTGGGTGAGTACGGATGTCATCCTAGGGATGAAGTGTTTACAGACGTTGGGGGAAACCAAAATCATGGGCACACTGCGGCATGGAGTTGTGAAGGGTGGAAGGAAAAAATCT